GACTAGTTGATCAACCCGAGTATAAATACAAAATTCCTTTCTAGGTCTTTCAGGTCCGATTTGCAACGCCCTTAATAGGTGTAGACATAAATGTTGGTAACCAATCTTTAGAGAATCGTAGACTAGCTCCCGCTCATGTAACTTTCAGCACTCTAGCCTTGAAACTCTAGATATGCTTTTAGCCGATTTGCCAAGTCCCTAATGAGCGTAGCCACATCCTCCATAGCGTCCGAAGCTTAGATATACTCGTGTGTGTTCTGAATTTCAAGTATTTAGCTTCAATAGCGTGGACAGACGGACGAACATGCACAAAACCAATATACTCATTTCACTTTCGTGAATGAGTATAAGCACACACAACAGTACAATTCAATATGAATTTTGTGTGCATTCTTGCGTTTTGGTTGATCAATTGTGTTTTGAGGTCGGTCTAACAATTGATTGCTTAGCATTGGGTCTTTAATATTTTAATGGTAATAAACCACCAACAACAACTCTCTCTACATCCTATATATTATACTTTTTTTTATATATAATAGTCACATAAATTGTAATCATAATCCATATACAATTTACGTATTCAAATTTCAGTTCGACTTAAGAGTTGGGCGGCACACTCTTTGTTCACTTACGAATGTGAGTCTGATAATAAGACCTCTTGCAATTGTAGGTGACGCATGGCAGACCCTATAAAATGTACATATATATTATCAACCAGAGTGACGAACTGTGTCTATATAGCCATATCCGCTTTCTCGTCTGTCCGGCCGTCCGTCCGTCTGTACATATGTACTCCGAAATCCCGTAGGCCACAAAATCTAAGGACTTCAGGTTTTATAGTTATAGTCGTGTATAGCATTCTATTGATAACAATCGATGATATGACTTCAACTATTAATGATGTAATCTTAGCATTAGAAATTTACTATGTATATTAATATAATTTATGAGGTCCACGCCTTCTTCGCTTTGATTAAACAAAACAAAAAATAAATAAATAATAAAAAAAGAAACTTTAATATACTAGAACCTATAGTTTATACTTTTTTTCAAATACAGTAATTTTAATATATGGCTTGATTAAGATAGTCATTCAAGAGAATATTCAAGCAAATAAATTTGCTTCCCTCTTTTATCTTTCTCTCTCTCTGCAATAAAATTTTAAAACCCCAACTCTAAGGTGGGAGGAAATATAATTAAATAACAAATTCTTGATAGGGTTTTCAATCGATAGTTGCAGATTTTTGGGTTAAATCGACTCAGCTCTTCGTCCTGATCAAGAATATATAAACTTTATGGGGCCTGTCACGCCTCCTTCTGCCTATTACATATTGTGACTTATTCTCATTTTTTCTTTCATTGCCATAATATCGATAATTATCGATTAGCAATGTTTTCATACTGAAACTTTTGAACCTTGGGTCAACTTGATTGCAATGCTCCAACATGTTTTCATTAATACTTAGATAATGCCTGTGTCTGATTTGGCAAAATTTAATTGAGCGATTGCTCAATTTGCTTATTTGGAATTTATTCAATTTGTAACAATTCCATTTGGCATATGTATGTCTGACATGGCCCAAAATGCCTTTGGCATAAATTGCATTTGCATTTAAATGCATTTTGCACTTTCAAGCACACACACACACGCACATATACATATACATATACATATACATATATATATATATACATAGAGAAAGAGAGAGAGATTGATATATACAAAGAGGGAGAGGACTTACTAGCCAAAGCAATTTATCAGGTGTATAAAGTATATCAAATAAATGAGTTAAACATTATGTTATCAAATTAAGTGCGCACGCCCACATAAAGCATGCATGCATATCTATATCCCTGTCTCTGTCTCTGTCTATGTATGTGTGTGTGAGAGGTGGGCGTGCCATGTGAGTGAGTGTTGCTCGCGTTTTGCACTGTCAGCATAAATTTCACTTAACATTTGATGTGACAACAATAAAGTCGGTCGGTCAGTCGTTCGCCGGTGCTGACAATCTCAAGTTCGCATTCAAATTACAGCCAAAAGCCAGCAAATTGTCGATGTACCGTTTGCCCGTACCACATGCCGCGTACCGCAAGCCACATGCCACATGCCAACTCATGCCGTATGCCACACGCTGCATGCCATACCAGGGCGAAACTCCAACAATTTACAGTACGCCGCGTCCGCCGCTGCTAGTGCAGTTCAAATGCTAATCGCCGCACATGACATTCATTGTCTGCGAAACAATTAAAATCAGCCAGCGGACACAAATCGCAATGAATTGTATTAGCTCCAACCGTCCCCCAGTTGCCAACTGCCAGCTGAGGCAGTTGACGGTAGTGGGTAGCAGCTTAAGAGCTTTTGGTTAATGTTTGGCAACAAATTTCCAGGCCACAGATTAGAGACGACCTGACTCTGGGAACTCTATAGATAAGCTCGAGCCACAAAGAGTATATTATGATTTAGAAGGACCCCTTTATGCCTAGCTAACGTCAACAGACATGGTCATTACAGTCTTATCCTGCTAGAGGTATTTCTTCAGATTTGCACCTGTTTAAGTCAGCCCTAGATCTCTTTATTATATTACTAGCTTGCAGCAGATGACGCAAGAGATGAAGAAAATGAATTGAAAATTTTCATTTGCATGTGCAGCCAATTGGTCTAGAAAGAACAAGCTCGGTACACACATTTAACGATATGTTCACCATGGTAATTATCTCATTTATGCACATCGCCTTGAACTAATATGCTCTTCGCGCACTGGACAGGAAATATAGAATAAGACTCACTTCATCACTTTAGCGGTCACAATTTTGGAACTTTGCATTCCCCGCATACGCTTAAGTTTATGTCCTCGAGCCAGGCAATATATTAGAGCGACTCTACGGAAACCGCAGCTCATTTGTATGGACTGCGAGTGGCTGTGTGTGTTCGCATGTGATACATAAATGTTCATTTTCTGATGTATGTGTGTGCTGCATGTCCGTCTGTCTGTATTTGTTTGTCGTGTGTGTCTGTGTATTCCCGCCGCCGTTGAGTAAAGCCCGCCAGTTGCTTTCTCAATGCCTTGCTCCCCTGCCAACTACCACCACGAACTAGCAAATACCCTTGACAACCCTAATCACCCTTAGAAAATTTTAATATTTACGATACAAATATTTTCAATATGAATATAAACAAAGGTGAATGACTTTACCAAGCTATCTCAAGTTGACAAACCCAAATCAACTTCTTCAAAATGTAAAAATCTAATCTTTACAGTATATTCAACTATTAATAATAATAAATTATTTCTAGCAAATATATGAGAGCATGGGTAAAGAGAACATAGTCTATATACTTTATTTGCTTAACTCTCTGGCTAACCAGACCTAAGAGTATATTAAATTTGTGCATGCTTTCAACTGGCTGAAGGAGGCTGGAACGAGATGGCTGATTCCACGGAAAACATTTATATTTCGCCATGATCCACAGGATGCGATGAGACTCTCTATTGTGGCGATATCTACCAATTGTGCACTTCCGCCTAGAGCAGTCTACTACTTATATTTTATGTCAAACATATTTATCTAAACATACAAATATTTTTTTGGTCTGTTTTATTGTTTTGTGTTCCGAATATCAGATTGCGTCATTACGTCCAACTGCTGAGCGCAGCAAATTAGCATGCAAGCACAAACATGTGTTGCTGTCACTCCCTGTATGTGTTCTCCACATATCAGCGTGTGTATGTGTGTGTGTGGGGGGGGAGTGTGTCACATTATATGATACGCAACACTTGACACTAAAATGGAGCGACGGTAACGACATAAGAAAACTGAAACCTAACCAAAAGTTCCGCCAGCCAAACGCATACACTCGAACAAAAAGCACAATGTCAGGGCGAAGAAGTGGATGAGGTAGAGAGAGGGAGGAGAAAGTTGAAATGGCTAGGGGAACAACTCAAGCAACGCACTAAAGTAGGCAACAAAATTTCTTTAGAAATTTATGTGTGTGCTTTATTAATGAGTCGTTAGCTTTGTCGTTGTTGTTGTATTTGTTGCGATTGCGGTATTTGTTGCTATTGTGCTGTTGTTGTTGCCTAAGTTAAAGCTGCAGTTGACGACGATGAGGTTGGGCCGCAGAAAAATCAATAGAACGGCAGCTGCCGCCGCAAAGTATGCAATGAAATTGGGCAAATGAATTTAAATGAAGCTGCCACGCGTTGCGTATACGCAACGTGGCAGAACGTACAACGCAGTCAACTGTGAAAAGCGAAGCAGAAACGGGAGTTGGAGCCGGAGCAGAAGGCCCTAGCTGTTGGGTAGCTGTGTTTGTGAGATGTAAGAGGTCTTTCCAAATACACACGCAAATATGAGCGCAAGGAACGAACATATGCAAATATGCTAGTCCGCCAGAAAAAAATCTAAGAAAGCAAACGGAAGTTTATTTGAAGTCGCCTAACAGAGCAGAGGAGGTGGAGAACTGGAGAAACGATGGAATGGGGAAAGGAGGGTGGGAATATAGAATGGGCATAGGGAGTGAAGTGGCAGTCAAGTGCAAGCAGGCAACATCAGAAGACGACAGCAAAGGCAAAAGTAAAACAAACAAGCGCATAAAGCAAAGGTCCTGACAAACAACAGGAAGACAAAATCAAGCAGCAGCCGGCTAAAGCGAAAAATCTATACATATATATATATATATATAGTTTAGCCAAGGGGTAAGAGGTCCATCGGCCGTGCAGTTGTTGTAACATTTGAACTTGTAACCTCACCAAGTCAAAAGGTGAAAGGAAGCGGATGAGTGAATCCAGAAGGGTTGTTCAGCTGCTGAGCTGCTTGGCTGCTGGCTGCTTGGTTGCTTGGCTAAAGGGCAGCGGCAGCGGCGTATGCCAAAACGTGTTCAAGTTCATATGCCAAGACAGTCAGTCAGTGAGCCAGCCAGTCAACCAGTCAGTCAGTCCAGTCGGTCCAGTCATTGGCCCCGACAGGAAGTGGCAGCGAGATGATTGTAGCAGTAGGCTGCCTGTCAGCGTCATTTGAAACGTTTGAACGAAGTCGACTTGTTTGAATCAGAAAGAAAAATAACCAAAATTTTGGAGTACAATTAAAACGAACAACATGGCAAATACAAAGCTAAAATCAATTCATGATAAACAGCGCGCCGAACTGACAGACAGACCCAAGAGCAAGACTAAAACGAAGACCAAGACCAAAGGCCAGATGATCCGATCGAAAACCTCGTTCAAGGCAGCCGACATAAAACAAACCAAGTCCAAAGTAAACTCAAAGCTTCGACCGCAGACGCTCAATTTGAAGCTCAAGCGACGATCTCTTTTGATGCGTAAAGCAATGCAGCCACTGCTTCCGCCTCAGGGTAAGTCCAAGCAAAAGGCCAAAGGGCGCGTGGGGAAGCGCAAGCAGCCCAAGGAACCGTCCTCCACCAACGCGACAATTGTGATTGTCAAGAATTCAGAGCACCGCACCAATCGGCTGTTAAGCTCTGCACAGAAGCGCCGGCCAAGTAGTGCCAATAACCAGCAGCTGCCGAAACAGAAAACACGTCACCAGAAGCCGGCTCGCATATCGGCTGGAGCTGATGGCGGCTACACTAAGGGGCAACAGAGCAAAGTGCCGCCGCCGCAGAGTCTACTGCCCCACCTGGGCAGCGGCGTTCAGAAAGAGGCATATGGCACCTTTGGCTATAAGCGTTCCCCGCCCCCCAGGCCGATCCAGAAGAACGAGGAGCTTGTAGTGCCGCTGAGCAGTCGATTGCCCATCATTGACTTCATTTCCACTGATGAATTTGAGCGTCTACACAGCTTCAAGATGAAGCACAAGAAGCGCTTCCCTGTCGATGGCAAGCCCAACGATAAGCTAAAACCAAAGAACTTTTGGCGATGCGGATCCTCAAAGTTGCCGGACATCAGTTGTTAATGTTTTATGCGACTCTACGTAAACTCTGTGTACCGCGGTAAAAATTTTTTGTGTCTAGTTTTAAAATACATAGTCATCCCTAAAAAGATAGCTGTCACATATCTACAATCGTCTGTTGATTCCACAATAACTCTGCCAACCAATGTTTGTCCAATGCAAAAAACCGAGTAGTCCACATGAAAGAAAATTAAAATTTATGTAAAAATGTGCCTATTGTCGAGAAATACAAATCAGTTGTCGAATTTCTAATGGTGAGAGCTGCCAACTAGCGACTGGCGAGTGGAGAGTTGCGAGTAGCTACAAATAACGATTAGAGAAAGTTGGAGGAGCCAGTAGCCAGTAGCTAGAGGGAAGGATCAGCGAGTAGCGTGTAGTGAGTTTCGAGTAAAATCTAGACGGGACGATGAGCGAGCAGGCAGAAGCGAGGAACGAGTAGTAAGACTGAAACAGAATGAAGCAGAAGAGGAATGGACATATGTAGCTAATCTAATTCTCTATTCTAATGGATAGTGAAGAAAATAGAAATTTGTAACAAATAGCAATATGTTAGCTTTACAAAACCAGATAGTTATATAAATCAGGTAGGTAGGCAACATATAATAATATTTCTACTGTTACTGTTCCTAGTGATATTAGAGATAATACTGGCTTATTATTTCCTGATCTGTCTGACATATTTAGAAGATGAAGCACTGAATGAGCTAGAGATAATAAGGGTGCGAGAGAGAGAGAGAGAGCGAGAGAGAGAGAGGCAATGCAAAGAAGCAGACTTAAGTCACAGAATGAAAATGTGGTAATATGAAGGCAAAATGGAGCAACGGAACTTTTGCGCAAATTATCTGCGTCGCGTTTATTTCGCGCAAACAAATCGCAAAAGTTTTGCAGACGTCGACCGTCGAGCCGTCGACCCAACGACTTGACTCGCACTGGAACCGAACTTAACGGAACGGAATGGCTCCTGCCTGATCTGGTAGTGGCCCCGACAACTGCCGTGACATGGCCCTGGCCTCGCCAGTCCTGCCCTGGCCTATCCTGGCCTAATGCGATGTGGTGTGTTTAAAACTTTTGCCGCTTTGCCTGCTTTGCCGGGACAAAAGTTTTGGCTGCAAAATCGCAGCTTGGCGCACGGGCATCTTGCTGCAATTTACGGCTTTTCCTTCGGCCTGGCTAACAACTTCAAATGCAGATGGAAATGGAGACGAATACGTTGGAGCTGGAGTTGGAGTTGGAGATGGCGATGGCAATGGAGGCGCTGGCAATTGAAGCAGCGCGCCATGGAATGCGGCTTGTATTTGTTGTTTTTGGCTCTAGAGAATTTTTTAGGCTTGTTTTCATTTTCTCTGCTGTTGGAGAATTTGCATTTTGGGGTAACTTAGCAACGACGATGGGGACGACGACGACGACTGCGGCTTTTAACCGCAAACCAAACGGAAATTGAGATTCATTTAATTCATTGTGCGCCCGACAAGGGGCAACGGGTTAAATGTTCGGCGACGACGCTGCGTTGACAGCTTTCGGGCCATGGCATAATCAGCAGCACAGACACCAACATCCACACCACCACCACCACCACCACCAGCAGCAACAGCAGCTGATGCCAGGGTTAGTACCAACGTCAGCAACATTTAAATGACTGCGGCCCCGACAACGGCAACGCCGTGCTAATATTTATGCTCCAAATCTTATAATCGAGTGGCGGCGGCAATGGCGCACAGACAGTGGAACGACCAAGAGCACTTCTAGCCCAGAAATGCTTTGATTGCCTTCAAGTGGGCCATAGAAGATGCCCGCGAGAGGGCAAAGGAGCAATATAGGGTGCAAGGGAGAAAGGGGTAGGAAAGCTGGAGTGAAGAAGGAAGTGCGATTGTAAGAGCAGTCGATGCCTGTCTGAAATAGCATTGGACTGCAAACTTCAGCAATAAAGTTGAGTAGATGAAAGCCCTCATCAGTGGGCAAGCGTGTGGATGCCATCCAATCTCATTACCCGTTATAGCTAGCTGAAAGTTACGCTAATAGAGCGATATATATACATATGTATGTACGTGCGTACATACATATATGTATCATTGCTTAAGCGCTAGCTGTAGTTGATTAAATTGCTTTGGATTAGTAGGCTGAGCTCGGACTAAGTTAGTTCAGGCTGAAGAGCTGTGATTCCATTGAGAAATTTCTCTAAACACTTTAACGTTTAATAGCTATAGCTAGAATATATTACCATTCCAAACTATGAAACGCCATTTAAAGGTTTCAGTTCCATTTAACATTTAGCCTTAGAGCCGAACTTTAATTTTTTGCTCTGTTTTCCAACACTGGATGGTGCAAACCATATTACGTATGGACAATGATCTGTCCACTACGTAATCATAAAACATTACAAATTCGCTTCTGATATCCAATGTAATGTGACTCACGGAAACGCATGGAACGAAGAGCATGGACAGCTCGCTGACCAGGCTTACGTAATAGGAGTGTGGGAAGTGAGCACGTTGCGTATATGTCATATTGCGTATATGTTAAACCAATGTTATCAAACAGCATAGAATTTGTTGCTGGCTTCTGGCCACCTCTCGCCTGGCTGAGCAATCCCGATGATGACCGTGTGCCGTGGCTAGCAATAGCAATAGCAATGGTCCCATTCATAGAGCATTTCCAATGGCCGTTGCCCGTTGCCCCTTGGCCGTTGGCTGTTGGCTGTTGGCTGCACATTTAAACTACGTGGTGTGCAAATTCGGTTTTCGCACGATTTCATTTCGAGTCTTGCATAAATTAAGCATTCGACAATTCTCAAATTTTTGTGGTCGCCGTTGCTGACTGAAACCAATTGCCAGTGCCGAGGCGATGAATCCGTTTAGACCCGTGTATGTGTGTATGTGTATAAAAACGTGGCCAACGGGATTTGTGAGTGGCCAATTGGCAAATAGGAGGAAACTTAATTATGCATGCAATGGCAAATAGCTGAGACATGCTCCTGCTAAGGGTGTAGAAGTAGCAGTTGGAGACTAGATGTAACTAAACATATATGTATAGGTGTATGTGTGTGTGTGATTGTGTAAGTGTGTGTCTGTCCGTGTGTATGCGTCTTTGTGTGTATGTATCTCCGTGTGGCAGTGTGTATATAGCTAGAACCAGTTTTACCCAATTGATATACCAATTATGCAGCACAAGTGACACTCGTGCGTGCGTCTGTGTGTGTGTGTCGGTGTCGCAATTCGACCTGCTTATTGAACGCAATTACCTGGCACAGTTTCATGCATGCAGAAACGATGCCAACGTAACGCAGCACAGAATCGTGTCAAAGTTCACGGGAAAACAATTTTCCCTTTGCTACCTCGAGCCACCTCAGTCTCTGGCTAGGACTGGCTATGGCAATCGCAGGACTTTTGTTAATTAGGCACAGCTGCATCTGGCCAATTGACCCACTTCATTCGCCCAGATCAACTTGTTTCCTTTGCCCGAAAAAACTATGATATTAAAAAACTAATAGAAAACTTGCCACCAATATGAAATCGAAAGGCAGAGAGCCCAAAGAACACACAAAAAAGTAAAAAAAAAAAAAGACAAACATAATCAAGCCAAATGAAACAGAACAAAAAAATGAAAGGCCAAAAAAGTTAACCTCGACCCAGTGTGCAGCGGCTATAACTTTATTGTGTTTGTATACAATATGTGTGTGTTTGTGATAGTTTTTGGGTCTGAGGCTCGTGGGTTATCGCTATCGCAATTTCTATCCATTTCATTTACCGCAGGACAAATTTTTATTGCCGCCTGCGCTGACCCAAGCCACAGCAACAGCAACAGCAACAAAATGACATTGTTTTTAACACACACACACACATACACACATGTGCTGTGTTGACTGTATATATACATAAAATTGCCGGAAAGTTGTTGCAATCGTCCTCATTTTCTTTCATTTAAGGACAATTTTTATTGTTGTTGCTCACACTGCCGGGCCTTGGCAGCGCCTACCCCAACTCATACATATTCATATATGTATATATATATAAATGTAAATAGCAACAACAAGAGAGCGAGTAGAACAACAAGTAGAAAAAGCCCCCTTCTTGCGCACACATCATCTCCAATGTGACAGTCGCCAAGTGCATTGTGCACTTTGCCAAAAACAATTTCCATACTGCCCTCAGTCAAGGGCACTTCACGAATGTGTGAATGAGCTCCTGACTGTATGAGTGTTTATGTGAATGCCTATGGCCCTATTCGTATGCATTCAACTCGGTGTGTGTGTGTGAGTGCGTATGTCTGTACCACGAGTCAAAAGCATGTTTAATTATGTTGACATTGTTACTGACCAATTCATGAATGTAAAATAATTGCATTCCAGTTGCGGTCTAATTGGAAATTCATTTTGGCACGCTAAGCGCCCATACATCCAGTATTCAAATACATTCATATGTTGAATATACATATATACATACAGATATATTTTATGTATTATACAATACTATATGTACGTATGTGCATATGTATTAAATGACTTGCATTCTTCGCTGGAATATATCATAACCTTTGACTGACATCATTCCAAATGAAGTCTGATTAAATTTTTCACTTGATTGATTGACAGCAGTCAATCTTTCTGAGTGAGCCACAGCGTACAGCAGGCAGTTCAATAGACGAACTGAAGCACAGCAAATTTAGATTAGGGTATATCACCTAACTTTCTGGTGCTTTCTTATATGCATATACAAAATACACTCCAAATTTGTATAAAACAACTTATTAAATGCAAATAAAATTCTGCCCGTCTTTTCGTCTGGAAGTGTGAATTTAAGACCCCATAGAGGCAATATCGACTTTTTCCCAGGACTCCTATAGCAAAAGCACATCAGGATTTCGATCAATATAAGCCACGAAAAACTATATTTAACGTTAGTTATTGAAATAAATTGTAAAAAGCGTACATTATGATAATTATTCAGTTTAGAGCTCTCAACTTTTATATTTAGTTTAATTTTCATATTATACATTTTTTCGTAATTCCCAAAGCTTGTATGCTTTGAGCCCAAACAAAATGGGAAATCAGGGTAGCAGGCGTGAAATATAAGTAACAGGCAGATGGAGACGTGACAGGCCCCATAAA